CTCTCCGCTCCTCACCAGGCATTACTGATACCGTCTGTCTGTTCTCTGGTGCTTATTCTGGAATTAGACTCACAATATTTTTGCTTTTTTCGAGAAGGCTGCTGTATCAGATTTGGCAATCATAAAGCTATGAATTCCTTCTGGGACTTGGCTCAGAGACCTCAGTCAAGTCTGCTATGTCTGCTACAATGGCCCCCAGAAATACACAGGAAATTAGGACAGAGACGCCGGAGTTGGACTTTACTGTTCCACCTGCTGTATGTAAACACATTTTTGTGACGTGCAGCCCCAAAGCCAGAGGAAGCTCCTTAGATGGTCATCTGACTTCCCTGGGGAACCCCCCCCCCCCTCCCCCCTTTTTTTTCTTCTTCTTGCGCTCACTTTTTGGTCATTTTCTTGTGAAACCAACGCGTGGTCGCAGCTCTCGTAGATCTGCCTGAGTGATTGCTCATTGTGGAAACTCCTCAGGACCAGCTGTGTCTTACATGCGTGGTAAATCGACAAACAGCTGTCAGCGAAAACATACCTTCACACACTGCTGTGGACACACTAATTGTTAATCAGTTTAAACTAATTGTTAAACAGGAGGAATAAAGGATTATAAACCAGCGCCCTGTTTGAAAATCTGCCATTGTAATTAGTAAAGTGCTGTCAGCCCTCTGGCATTACTGGAGACAGTCCTCCACCAGGCAGACTGCCTGATACTACTGATCTGACATGACTCACTCAGTGTGTGTGTGTGTGTGTGTGTGTGCCTGTGTGTTTGCCTGTGTGTGTTTTTGTCTGTGTGTGTTTAGACATGTGGGCCTTATTCCCCTAAATCCAGTGAGCTGTGGCTTCCCAGCAGAGGTGAGAGGGGTTATGATGTTGTGATGTTATGTGTCTGTGTTAAGTTCTTAGTTGCGCACCGTGGGGGCACTTAACTTAAGCAGGACAGGGTGAGTCAGGGGGGGTGAGTAAATAAAATGATGTTGGGTTTAATGGGTTTTTGAATGAGGAATTTTAACACAAATCTCATGAGAGCAGCTTCACGCATTGGGAGTTTAAATGGCAGCGTGAGGTGCGTTTAAGATTCGGACTTTCCGGAATCCGCGTAACCTGACACACTCATGTCTGCCGGCCCGGCTGTGACGGTGGTGACTCTACATTTGTCTGCGTGTTGTGAGGCTTGCTCACTGCTGGGCAGGAAGCTGTTTGAGATTTGATGATTTCACGCTTACGTTTTGTGAGTCTCAGTTTGTGAGTTGATGAGTGTGAATAAACCCAACATTAAAATTTGATTTGAGCAAATAGAGTGAACAGGAGTCCAAGTTAGGTTGTGCTCTTGGTCCTTCTGTCTGTTGCTCTGTCAGCCAGCTCTCCATCTGCCTGAGTCCATCTGTCTGTCTATCCATTCATCCATCCATCTGTCCAGCACCTTTGATTAAGAATAAGATACAGTATCTTTAAAACCCCTGCAATTATCTGCTATTATCCTCTCCTAGGATATGTACTGACTTTGGTCTCCTGACTCTTTCTCTGGAAATACCCTACCACACTAAAATTCCCTTTTCTTTTTTTGTTTGCTTAACGTCTTATACAAGATAACTGACAGCCAGTTTACTCTGGATACTCATGTTCCTCAGAGGATGAACCTTTGTGACTTTGGTCGTATTGTGGCCTTTAGGCATATGAACACATGCACTAAGCATTCATCCATCACTTCATCCATCACTTCAGCTGGCTGCTGGTCAGGCTTCAGTCTTGTTGGATAAAAATCTTGCCTTGTATATCTTTAAAAAGCATTTGAAATGTTTGGTGTGTCTCCTGACTGTTACATTCTCCTCTCCACTCAGCTCTTATATACAGTGGTGGTCGACATCTCAGCCCGGGTTTTGACCACTATCAGCCCAGCTGACCAGCTCGTGCTGTCTCCCCGCCAATATCAACACACCGACCCCGACTCGGGCACCCAGCTGGCCTGCGACAAGTGCCCGGCAGGCACCTACGTGTCCGTCCACTGCTCCAGCGATACTGTGAGGGAGTGCAGCCCTTGTCCTGAAGGCACCTTCACACGGGGAGAGAACGGGGTCCAGCAATGCCATCGCTGTCGGGCTCCGTGTCCTGCAGGGCTTATTGAGAAAGCGCCCTGCACAGCCACCCAGGACCGCATCTGCACTTGTCCACCCAACAGCTTCCTGTCGGTGGATGGTGGCACAGAGTGCAAGCCCTACTCGCTGTGCCCTCCGGGGACCAGGGTGAAGAAGCGGGGCAGTGAGACAGAGGATGTGCTCTGTAAGCCGTGCAACAAGGGGACTTTTTCAGACGTGGAGTCGAGCGCGCTGAAGTGCCGAACCCACACGGACTGCCAGAGCCAGGGGCTGGTGCTGCTCACATCAGGGACTAAAGAGACAGATAATGTCTGTGGACCGCCTCCTGCAGCTCTGTCTTCATCTTCATCTGCCTCCACAACCACCACGCTGGTACCTGCACAGGCTTTGCTTGCACACAAAGCCCTGACTTCTTCATCTTCTCTATTATCCTCACTGACTGGACCTGCACAGAAAGGTGAGAGCAGGGACCTGTTACAATAATTTGCATTTATATTAACTACTGTGAATATGTGTTTCATATGGATTTTCAGATAACTCAGTTTCAGATAGTGGCGTTGCTACTCCTGATGCTGTGTTGAAATGGGCTAGCGTCGTCTCTGCGCTCCAGCTCCATGTTTGATTTATACTTTTCCTTAAAAGAAACATAATAGTTTGAGATAACATATTAATTTACCTCCTACCCTTCAAATGTATTCACTTTAAAAGGAGTTAATAACACAACCTGTTCATTAAAATTAGCTAAAGCTAATGTTTTCTCACATTCACTACCTACTGTTACTTTATAATGAGATAAGATACAATAAGATTTTTTGACACAGTTGCTTCAGAAAGTATCCTCGCTCCACACCGTATTGTAGCTTCAATTACCATTTTCATTATCAATCTACACTCAATAAGCCAAGTGAAAACGTGTTTTTAGACAAGTTCTGCAAATTTATAACAAATTCAAAACACATAAAAAGCTGAAATCCCGTATTCACAAAAGCATCGCTGCCAAATGACTTTATTAAGGGTCTGAATACTTATGGGTACATTACATTATGGGTTATTGAGTGTAGATTGGTGGGCTATTATATAAATGGCTATTTGTGTGCAAAAAGTGAATTAGTCTGAATACTTTCTGAAGTTACTTTATTTATACCACGCTCAGGTGGAGTGGATGTCCTCACATCTCATGGCATATTATTGCTCAAGTTGCTGTTGCAGCATCGTTACATCAATTACTCACACAGTTTTCTTGTGGGAATTCCCAAAGTGAAGGACATCCGTAGGCATGGAAACAAAGTGGTGGCAGCTCCCTGTCTCAGGAATGCTACTATTTGTGGTCAGGGGGAGTTATGGGTTTTTCTGTCTTGCTCTTTGACTCATCTGCTGTCGCTTTTGTCTTCCTGTCCGCCGTCCTCCTCCTCCCGTCCTCGTCAGCTCTCGTACCGTTTTTACGTCAGTCGCGTCTCAGTCAGTCTGACGGCCGTTTCTCAGAATCAACCACCCAGAGCCAGCGAAGCCCGCCTCCCCTCACAGACGCCTATAATACTGTCACTGCTGTTTGTGCTGACGCGGGATCGATGGCTTCTCAGCCAGTCAGTTTGACCCCGTCTGTGCTGTGAGAGGGAAAGTGGGGGGGTTGGCGAATGGGGGTGTTACATACTCATGGCTGTTATTTTTTTTTTATCTGTCATTTATTAGTGGAAAGGGGGGGCGGACCACCATGTGCGCACCCCCCCACAGTTACAGCCGTGATAAAAACCAAACTGTATTCGCCATATTTCACCTTATGTAATTCACTACATATAAAGGCCCTTGGAAATTACAACACCAATCTCCCAGCAACCACAGACGTCCAGCAGAGAATTTGCTTTGATGGGTTACAGGAAAAAGAGATACCGGTACCTGGAACTACAGCGGCGTGTCAGTAAATACACATTCATCATGGTAGAAGGTGAAGGACAAAGTAGTGTGTCTAGTGTATTGTGTTTTTTTTCCGGCAGAGACAGAAAACAAGAAGTTAGCATGCTAACCAGCTAGCCTTGGCCTTGTCTCGACACTTTCTGATAGCGAGTCACTGTAGTACTCCAGTCCGCCCTGAAGACGTAGCGCTGTATTATAACCTCTCGTCTTGTAAACGCAACGATGGCTGAAGCTCCTGTCATGTGACAATCACCACCACCTGCTCCCTTTAAACTTTATCCTCCATCAACGGTGATTTACTCTAAACCGCACTGATGGTTTCAAACTCAAAATGTAAATGTTAGGGCTGAGAGGTACGACTTGAAATGACGATTATTTCAAACTTTTACCTCGATTACGTTTAATGAATGATACTTTGGGGCTTATTGATCGAGGGCAACATGCAAAGTTGGCATACGATGCGCTTTAAAACACCTACATCAATTTTTTTCTGCGTAACCCCCCCCCCCCAACACGGGTCACACCATTGTCCTATTTTCCCAATATCAATGTATGTTGATACAGGTTGATACGTGGAGTCTTGAAGCAGCTACATTCACAATGGATGAAGAGAAATGCAGATTTCATATTGAGTTGAAAATATTCCCATGAAAATTCACTGAGTCTCAAAAGAGATTCATTCATCTACAAACCTGCAAAACCTGGACAAAAAAACAAAACAAAAACAAAAACTATCTGGATGGCTCCAGATAGTTCAGCCCCAACATCTAGCATTAACTCCTAGTAAGAAAATATGATGATAAAATGTCAAAGTAAATGGAGTGTTACGGGAATTAGTAACTGTAATCACTGAATTTCAGATTATAATCCCTTACACTCCCTGTTACTGAAGTAATCACATTACCAGCGCTGGTCATGTGCCTGTCCATGTCCCGACAAAACTGAAATTCATGTTCTCCAGCTTCTGCTCGCTGTCATTTTGACTTCACACTCATTTACAGCCGTGTTGCTGCCAGACGAAACACGAGCCTTAATTTGGGGATTAGAGCCGCACCTGTGTACTTGTCTGTTGATAAGAGGATGAGAGGGATTAACACACATCCAGGTGACAATCCTAAAAAACATTCAGCGGACCATTTATGATCTAATGTCATTATACAACAGCCATTAGCAGCAGTACACAGGCGCGCAGCCACAACAGTAATCAATAGAGGTTAATGACGTACTAATATCGACCATTACAGGCCATTACAGGTTATTTCCATCTGGAAAAATTACATCTGCTGGTGTTAATGTCAGAGATTACAACAGATTTATTTGGTGGTAATTTGTTAGCCGATTTGACCAATCTTTTCCCCCTCGTCTTAAGTCTTTTTTTTTCCTTTAATATTCCTTCAGTTGAAGCCAGAGTCTGTTTAGATTGGCCCTTTGCTTAAGATGAACAGAGGATGGGACTGTGGGGTGAGCAGTTCAGAGCTGATTTGCTGTGAGATTACGAGGAGGAGCACAGCTGGGGCAGAGCGTGGCAGGAGGAGGAGGAGGAGAGGCAGATGGGGCAGCTCAGGGAATAAACACCAAGTTTTCACAGAGGGATGTAAACGTACTGTAGTCACCCAGATCAACTTGTCACTTTTTTTTTTTACCACAATTTTACACCGTATCGACTGATGTTTGTGACGTGTGGTCATGCAACTCTTTTGACTTTGAGTATCTGCATGTGTGGCGTGGACGTCACTGTATTTGGCAGCAGTTCTGCAACACATCAGCTGATTTTAGTTTATCTCAAATATCTACATGTGTGTTGGCTGATATTGAAATCGATACTACTTTAGTTTTCACTTTTTTTTTTATAAAGTTTATATTTAGAAAGATGTGAAATATAAACTTAATATCTCAACTTACTTTCACTGAGCAAGTTGCTTCCTCTGCAGGGTTGCACGGCTTGCACAGTAAAACCTGAGCGAATGGTCCGCTGCTGTTCGCATTCAGTTTAAGTCACTAATGCTCATCTGCAGAGTGGCACTCACCTGAACTCCTCGTTCGGGGGTTCGTGAACTTTCTCATTCACTAGAGTCAGTAAAAGCCTTCTACTATTTTACGGTGCTCCGGTTGTAGAACCAGCTGCCGGACTTAATGGGTCAGCAGAATCACTTTCTGTCTTACAAAAGCTGCTTGAAGACCCACGTCCTCCAAGATCACCTCGCATCTTATCTACCTACCTTATCTCTATCTTCTCTTATCTTACCTAGTGATAACACCTTGACGGCACTTGTGTCAGGTGGAATCTGAGACTGAGTGTGGATGCACTTATTCTCAGCGGTCTCTTCTCGATCCACTCTGGGTTGGACTTGAACATCACGGCTCTTAATGTTTGTGAAGCTGATCTCTGCAGCCTTCAAGTAGCCAATCGATATGATCGACCTCGTCCCGCTCACTGGCCACAACAAACAGACTAATGGTAAATTTAATGTGAACGTAAACCTTCCTGCTCACTACATATTTTTCTCGAAATAAAAACATTTTCTGATAGAAAATCGCCCGTTAGATTGTTGTCCAACGACGACTAACAATATCGAAAGCCTCAAAAATCCAATATTTGACCATCACCCGAGGACGGAGGACGTCAGCAAGGGAAGCAGATGAGTGAGAGCAGAAGGGGAGGTTGTTCCTTCTTCTGTTTGTGTGCCAGATTGCTCACATGGATTAAAGTGTTAGAATTCCCTCCCTTGATGCCTTCTGTTTTCATTGTCTGGGTTAAGCAAATCTCTCGAGTGAGTGAATTTAATTCCTTCTCTCTCTCTGTCTCTCTGTTGTCTCTCATCTCTTACTTCTGCACTGTCCCGTCCCTTTGTTCTCTCTAATCTCCCTTCTATCTTTGTCCCTATCGATCACTCTGGCTCTCTCGTCGCAGGCGCCTACAGCCAGTCGGCAGCCATCCAACTGAAGGGAAGCCCGGGTGGGGAAGACCACCGTGCAGAGGGGCCGCTCTTCAGCCAACCTGACACTCCCACCCCGCCCAAACGTGATCCCCCAAGGACTCCACCGCCCCCGGCTCGCAAGCAACCGATGGGTCGCGAGCAACAGCGGGGGCAACCCAATTCGGACCCTGTGCTTGGGCCCAACAGGCGGGCAACTGAGGGTCTGGAGGGTGCAGAGGGAGTCAGAGGTGGGACGGGTATCAGCAAGGTAGCTGAGCAAGGGAGCGAAGGTGGCAGAGGTGGGGTTTCCAGTTTCTACAGGCCCACTCGCAGGGGGTCCCCGAGGCCGAGCACCCATAATCACTTTGACATCAACGAGCACCTGCCCTGGATGATCGTGCTGCTGCTGCTGCTGGTTTTGGTGGTGATCGTGGTGTGCAGCGTGAAGCGGAGCTCCCGGGTGCTGAAGAAGGGCCCGATGCAGGATCCCAGCAGCATCATGGAGAAGGCGATCCAGAAGAAACCGTCAGCCCCTCCAACGCAGGTCAAGGAGAAGTGGATCTACTACTCCAACGGACAGGGTGAGTCTTCTTCCTCTTTGATTTCACAATGAAACGTTGCAGTGAGAGAGTTTGCTTTGTTGTGACATCACAAAGTTACAGAAGTCCTGACGGCTGGTTTTATGGCTCACTTTCTGAATACAGGCTGTGTGCACACTGTGGACTGAGGCTTTGATACTCTATAATAAAAACAGACATGGACATCTACCTTTATTCAATATGGGACCTTTAACAGTTAAACAGTTAAATCTGCAAGTCGGCTTACAGCTGGTGCAGCTGTGTCCATCTTATCTCCACTATTTTTCATGAAGGCAGCTCACTAGCAAACTATGCAGGAAAATGACATTGACATTCTTCATCCCGCCTACTCAGCTCTCAGCGGTTGATAATGGAACAAAACAAGATGTAGTCAGCAATATAAACATCTGGAACCAGAATAACATTTCAGCTATTTATACACATTTCATTTGTTGATGCTCTTTTTCCATGAAAACTTGCTTTTTTTAAAGATAGCAGGCAGCAGTGGACCTAACCCTGGGACAATGAGATGAATGGGCTAAAAGAAACAATAATAATAATTTCAGATGCAGAAATAACATTTAAAAAAAAAATCCATGTGATTTGGGGGCTTTGATTGGAAATTAAACGACAAAACCACATCTTTATGACTGACTTGATCTTTACCTTTAAATACTGCTAAAAACTCAATGTGAGGTTTTGAATGAGTGAAATATCCATTACCAAACCCCTGCAATGCTCCACTGAAGATTGCATCCGGTATATGACATAATGTTTACGACAATGTCAGTTGCATTGTTACATCCTCAGCAATATGCAACCCTGTGATTCGCCCTCAGGGAAGGCGTCTAATCACAGCTTTGCCACTGTGTTTTTTGAATCTCGGGATGGACTGGTCACTCTGTATGCTTCTGCACCATGGGGGGTGGGGGGGGGGTCATGGACTCTTAGTGACGCACCGGATGTCCCATTCTGGTGTAATGACACGCGTTAGTTCAGCTCCTGAGCAGTAGCAGAACCATCTGTTGATGTGATCGCACCACTGAGGGAATCTGATCCAATCAATCCTGCCTCCACAGCACATGGTGCGGAGGGCAAGGACATGACCCTGTTGTAGTACCACCCTGCTGTCACTGTCCTCCCCCAACACACACTCAGGTTGCCTCACAGCTCTCAGTTCTCCAATTTCATCTTGGTGTCTCCTTCCTTTCCTCTTCTCCTTTGTTTGCCTCCTTTGTCACTTCTTCCTACCTTTTTATTTTTACTCATTTCCTCTTCCTCCTTTGTTCTTCACTCTTGCTCTTTTGTCCCTTGTCCCATTTGTTCGCTTTGAATATCTTTGAGTTCGTCGTATCTCTGCCTCTTTATACCCTCCGTCTCATTTTTGTTTTCTTTTTCTCTGATGTTTCGAACTTTGTTTTATCTGTCCTCTTTCTTCATTTCCATTCTTAACTTTTTCTCCTCTTTGTGCTTTTTTACTTTTATCTCACACTCACCTCTCTCTCTCTCTCCATTACCACTGTTGCCCCCTGCAACTTCTCTCTGCTCCTGTCTCTTGACACTGCAGCTATCAACAAGTAGAGAACATTTTGCCCCCACAGCTGAGCTCTCCATTTCACAGTGAAAGAGAGAGAGACCCAAACTCAGGGGACACCTCCTGCCTGAGTCTCCACTTTGTAACTGTGTGTGTGTGTGTGTGTGTGTGTGTGTGTGTGTGTGTGTGTGTGTGTCATGATGAAGCTGAGCCACCCGCCACCCTCTCTCTCTGCTCCCTCAGTGACTGACCACAGAGAACTGGAATAATCTGGTTTTAGCTGCATCAGGGTTGTTGTTTGGTTGGCAAGGCACATTAGTGGGTCAATCGGGTGTCTTGCAGGGCGACAGAAAGATATACAGAGGGAAGGAAATGAAAAGAGAGAGAGAGTGAGAAGGTGCAGAAGCAACTGGCTGGTGAATAAATGGCTCATTTAGAAGAAGCAAAGCAAAGGCACTGGTGGAGACCAAAGCAGAGCTGAAAGGACAAACTTCAGTCGAATGCTAATAGTGATCTGTGTCTGCCGGGTGTAAATAAGCAACTGATTGTTGAAAGTTTGTCGTAACAACTTTATAAGGTGATAGCATGTCAGTGTTGTGCTTTCTGCCTGTTCTGCTGCCCACAAGTGGCCAAAGGAAATACAGAAAAAAAAAAAGGAAAAAGAAAAATGAAACAAACAGTGCTTTCATGTAATTTTTGTTTTAATTAAAATGGGTTCTCCAGTTATCTTTGATTTTCCAAAAAAAAAATGGCTTTAACTTAAAGCAATGCAAATAACCAAACTAATCAAACCATGAAGTGGGAAACTTGGCGGCATCTAGCAGCCTGTACCCTGCAGATTAGATTTCAGCGAACACCTGGATTGTCTGGGTTGTAAGCAAATCTACTCTTACTTCCTCATTGAGAAATCTGGATCAGGACTGCCCCACCCACGACTGCTGCTTGCTGCAGGTTGACAGGTGAGAGAGAGCAGAGAGTGTCAAGACGGATCAAGCATCAGAGAGACGGATCAGAACGGTTAGCGTAGCTAGCGTCTTTCATTTGTTTATGTTGTTTGTTAGCTTGTAACTGGCAGTGGCTGACACAGTGTTAGTGGTTGTGCTAATGCTAACTGTCGCTCTCTGCACTGACGAGGTTTCAGGTTTATTTAAGTCTTATTTAAGTTCACAGATGGTATTTACATTAGACCACCATCACTGAACGAAGGATTAAAGCTGCGGCGCTGATGATTTGCTGCTTTTGTTATAAGCAACTGGGGTAAACAATGTGTAACAGTTTTTACAGCATGAGTGCCTCAGCGCACAGTGTTTCCCCTGACAACCACAACTGTGCATTATATGAAAGAACTTCTATAATGATGCTTGTGTTTATGAAATTACTTTTTTTTTTCTTTATTTGAGATCATTTGTTGGGAATAACTGCTGCCATTACAGATAAATATTTGTGGAAACATAACTAGATGAAACTAGCTGTGTGTGTAGAGATTTGTGTTTGTGTGTGTGCGTGTGTGTGTGTGTGTGTGTGTGTGTTCTCCTGATTGGGTGAGTAATCCTGCGCCCATGTGTATGCATTTACGTGGAGATTGTACGTATGCACACGCAACCCGAACAGGCATTTTACACTGCTATTTACTCTCTGGAACATAAAACAAAACGGCTTCTTAATCCTTCCAAGGTGCACGTCTGGCTCCCCTTGAAGGTTGTAATGCCCCTTTACTAGAGCAGTTAAAACACTCGGGCAATAAAGGAGAAAAGAAAGGGAAATGTCAAAGCACAGATCACACACATACAGTACTTGGCATTTGCTCAGAGCCGGTCAGGAAGTAGTGAAAAGTGCTACTTCTTCACAGCAGGACTAAATGGGGCTTTCCAGGGCCAAGGGTCAGAGTTTCACTGCATGATCTGGAAGATTCATTTGTTTATCTTAAATAATAATAATAATAATAATAATAATGATAATAATAATGATGATAATAATGATACTGAACTTTATTTGTATAGCACCTTTCATACATAATTTCAGCTCAAAGTGATTTACAGAAGAAAAAGAAAAATCAAAAGCAGCAGAGGAGATAAGGGGCAATATAGCCTAATAAATAAAAGGGCAATAAAACAATATATAAAACATGAATGCAGCAGTCAAGTTAAATAAAAGGGAATCAGAAAAATGTTGTACAAAGGTTAGTTCGAGGACGCAATAAGCTGACTTTACTGTTATACCCACCTTTGGCCTCATTTTTTGCACTCAGCACAAACAACAACAGCATCTGTGACATTGGTACATCCAAGTGTGACACCACAAAGGCCCTCAGGGAGAGACTGTCCTCAAGTGTTGCGCTCTTACAGCCGTTTAGTCATCTCATCAAGACACCGAAAAAACTAGAGAATTGTTGAAGAGAGTTTAAAGAGGACGCAGGCCGAAAAGGAGCGTATATGACCGCAAGCTTTTTGTGCCGGTTTTGAGCGCGGCCACTTTCGGGACAGATGTTAACACATTTGCCTTTAGACGTGTAACGGCACCCAGGCAGCGCTTGGGCCCAGTGTCAAACGACATACACCAGATTTCAGAGAAAAAATTTTTTAAATTCACAGTAAGTGATTTGGACTTGCCCCAAAATGTAATGGGTTTGTCACTGGCACATGGTCCATCGCTCCACCGAGTTCACAGCAAATCGGTTTCAGAAAAATCACAGATTCACGGGTTTAAAGTCTTATCAGATTCCAAAACACCACACACGTAGAGGTCAACGCACCGTGGCAACGTTGTACAGCACGCAAAAAAAAACACCCAGCCTATTGCAGATGCATTATGATATAGCCCTGTCCTATTTCTCATCATTCATGCATGTTCAAGCTTATACTTGTTCATGGTGTATGGTGTGGCCAGTGTTTGCCCAAAGGTGTCTAATGACGTGCGTCAGCAGCAATCTGTATCTGTAGGAGAAAATAGGGCAACAGAATGAGGATGGCCTGTCTTAGTGCAAGTATTAAAATGTCTCCAAGTTGATTTTCACACTTCAGTGAAATGAATAAAAACCACTGGCAGCCTCGAAAGTAGTAAATCACTCCAGAACCTTGTTGTTCAGTACGCTGTTTACAGTTAATGGTCATAAACATGGAAAAACACCTATCACCATCACATAGAGGCTCGGTTGCGCTTCGTGTGGCCGCAGCCATATTATTTACAACATATATTTCCAAAGTAGGATGCAGATTGTAGAGGAAAACATGAAGGAAAACAACACTCTACCTGCCCACCATCATCTCTCGTTAAACATCCACACTGTTAATAATGCCAGGCTCCACATCCAAGCCCAGCAGGGAGCCACATGTTAGAATATACTGCGCTGTGCAGTACCAGGGTGGGCCGGGGTAGCCTGCTCTCACTTCAGCCTGGGATTGATTGTGAAGAGCAGAGGTTGTGGAGGGGAGGGGGGGGGCGTTGTTGCCTGGTTGGAGGTATACAGCGC